CAAGAAATTGTCCGTGTTTGCCCATAGGTTCAGGGGAGATAAAGACAAGAAAAAATGAAAGGAAAAAGTGGACTAACAGTCACCAGAGGCACAGAAGCAAGGTCGCCGGAGCAATGGGAGAGGCAACGGTTGGAGTCTCCCTCGACTTCTCTCATTCATGTTCTGTATTTATGAAGAAAGTAGTAATGAGTTGTGAAGAATCAGGAAACATGAGGGAATGATTTATACTTGTTGAATCAATGCGAATTGAGGTGTGCGACGTTTCATCTGACGCATGTGTCGGTTTAAATATAGTAATATGAGGGCACACATCCAAATCAGAAGTGGTACGTTAGACGAAAGAACAAGAAGTCAGAAATGACGGTTCAAGGGAAATTATTGCACCAAATTCAAATCCCTATAAAAATAGAATAAGATTCTGGGTAGCTTATTTCCAATAGGAAACTCCAACTTCTTTCCGGGACGGGAATCGAAAAAGTCAGAGTTAAGTGGCAATTGTGGGAGGTAAAAATGAGCTACAATATTGAAGAACTGGAAAACTTGGACCTAAGTGATAGGAGTGTAGGACTGCAAGATTGCAAGTCCAGGACTAGTGGTTCAAGTCCAAAAGACCATGACCAGAAACATGGATTCTGCTTTGGATGTAACACGTCAGAACTAGGGGAATATGAGGCGTGCCTTTGAGGATCAGACTCTATCAAGGTGTGCTCTCCAAATCTCAGCCTAACAAACTCCTCTATCTAGGCACGATCCCTTGAGAGATGGGGTTGACATGAAGAGTGGGAAGAGGTGCATGTAAACATAAATTTCAGAACATAAACCTTACACTTTGGATCATTTACCATGTGTATTATCAAGAAATCAAGACAAAATGACATACCTGAATCCATTGATGAACGGTTAAACGGAAGCGTGATTATCAATGAACTCTTTGTTATTGATTATGTTATTGCCTTCTAATCCTTTCTCCTTTGGTGCCTTATGTTTCTCCTTGAGAGGATTTAGAAAAAATAATGGCAGTGTTCTTATTTTTTTTCACTTAGGAAGGAATAGGGACCATAACCTTTTAAAGGTTGTAATTGGTTTTCAAAACTGAAAGGTTGTGGAAGTTCAAAAGGAATGAAAACCAACTTTAACCATTATTGGTTTTAATTTCTATTTATTGGTTTTCAAAACCGAAAGGTTGTGGAAGTTCAAAAGGAATGAAAACTAACTTTAACCAATATGTTTTAATTTCTATTTATGCCACTCATAGAAATAAAAATTATACAACTAGTATCTACACATTAGGTCCATAACACATATACCCTTAAGTCTATTAACTAAATTGAATCACTTAAATTGTAGGCTTCTTATAAATGATAACACCACATTTAATTATGTGGTCCCATTGAGACATTATCTAACAATCTCCCACTGGACCACATATGTATCCTGAAAAATGTGCTTAACTTTAGTGAGCTCAGAAATTTGTTATCATAACTTGAGGGTATCCAAACAATCTTGTCCATTAACTAAGCGGTCTTCGTTACATCAATCGTAACTCGACCCACCAATGGTCACGTATACTAATACAACTAAATGACATAGATCAATCATGGATGCGTAGCATGGAAATTACATGTGATGTGATCCATACATGCCTATTTCCAACTGGTCCTACTTAACTTTATTGAGATCAATACTTCACAATACGTAACAGAGCGTAATAAACTGAATATTTCATTTCTGCAGAAATTAATCTAAGTACATAGATAAAACTCAAGGCTGACATAAAGCAGTAATATAAATACAAACTCCCACTAAACCAGAATGTTCTCAAATAGAACAACACCCATCTGAGCAGTGTGCTCATGAAAGACCTTGAGTGGTAGTCCCTTCGTAAGTGGATCCGCTATCATGGAGTTTGTCCCAATGTGCTCTATGGAAATATGTCCACTCTGCACTCTTTCTTTTACAACTAGGAACTTGATATCAATATGCTTTGATTTTATCGAGCTCCTGTTGTTATTTAAAAGAACAAACCCAAAAAAATTTTAAACTCTCTCCCCAAATTTTTTTTCAAAAACAACTCTCCCAAAAACAAACCAAACAGTCTTCATTTTAATTTTTAGTCCATAAGCCAAAAAATCACTAACAAAAGACAGAATGAATTAAGACTGGGACCCCCTTTCCCCGTACAAGGATCCTCTCCTTGCAAGCCCCTCCTTGTGCCCGTCCTTGCAGAGCCGTCGGGCCTACTTTTAGGCCCAATTTTGATAATCCAAACCGTTCAAATTTTCTGATTTATTCAGTATATCATACCTGTAAAAAATCAAGTTGATTTATTCACTCTCTCTGCTTCCAAGTCCCTATGGAGCCTCCCTTTCTCCTCCCTGCCTTGGCGCGCTCGCCCTCCAATTCCCTCTGGAGATCGCCCACTCTGCTATCCACCTCGTCCTTCTGCCTGACCAGCTCCTCATTATTGCTCATAGCCTCTTCATGTCGCTCGACCGCGGCGGCACAGGCTCTTTGTCAGGCTTTTTCTTCTTGATAAGTTAGCAAAATGGAATGACCATTTTGTCACCATTTGGTCTTTTTCTCTTGATAAAGAATGCAACATTTTTCACACCAAACGTTGCATAGAAATTCATGCTACAAGTGTAGGGGGTGTGACGCGTGCAAACACAAATGGTGGCACCAAAAGTCAAGCGTCTTTCCTGTAAATCATCTCGGTTG